GTGAATGATGGTTGGGAGCGTGCTTGAGATCGGAAGAGCCACCTCGAGATCTGCTGGAGCACACGCAACGGGACGGTAAATGACGTCTTGACTTGTCTTGACGTGTCCGAGCAGAACCGCAACGGAATCAGCTACAGAAAAGCCATAGATTCATTTCATTGTGTCCATCTCCCCCGTCAAGCTGCACAGGCGCGTGTGCGCGTTGACGCTGCTCTCCCGGCACAGCAATATCGGCTCCCACACGAGTCGTGGGGGAAGCGATATCGCAGTAGGGAGAGAGACAGCCACAACTCGCAGACGGATTGTCCTCAAGACACAAGGCAGCAGTGCGGCATCAATCAGTGACTCCGGAGCCATATATTATGTGGTCAGTGGCGCTGACACGCAGAGACACATCCGTGCAGCGCCCACATACGGCAGCACCGGGAGGGAGAAAAATGTGTATGTCTCCTCCCTCCCTGGTCCTTTCTTTACACACACATGCCTGCTTGTGTGAATGCAGGCCAGGCTCCCTCCACCTCCCCTGCCCTCCATGATATGAAACAATCACCGACACTGACTAAAGTCGACACATCATCCACCCTCCCGCCTTACCCCACCCCGCCCTGTCGAGCACGCCATTCATCTCATCAATCGACGAGGCAAAAAGTCCTCCGTATGTGTGATACACATACATGAGCATACAGCAACCACAGCCGACTGCCGCCTGGCTACCCGTACACACCGCACCATACATGCACCGCACACCACACCACACCACACCATACCACACCTCCCTCCCTCCCCCCACAGACACACGCAATGGACATTCATTCACGACTTCATTAGCAGACATGAGTGCTCACGCACCCCATCCACCTCCCTCCATCCCTCACATCTTGGTCACCTCGTCTTGCCTCCTCACTGCCTCTATTCCACCACCAGTACCACTACCACTACCACTACCACTGCTGTTGACGTCATTGACACCCCCCACACCTCCAGACCCGCCTTCGTTAACAACAGGGCTCTTTTTCTTCTTGCTCGGCTTGACCCTCTCGAGGTCGTCCTCGATGATTTCGTCGTCCTCGACTTCAAAGCGCTTCTTGAAGAACGGCAAAGGCAGGTAGCTGAACAGCGTCGCAAACGGCAACTCGCGGATCAGACACGCCAGGACGATGAAGAAGCCGCCCAGGAACAGCCGAGGAGTCACCATCTCACCTGCAGATGGAAAGAACAGGTAAGGCGTGTGTGCGTGTGCGTGTGTGCGGGGTAAGGTTGTGTGTGGCGTACACACCCAGCAGTAGAGCGGAGAACATGGCTGCCCACAAAGGTTCGCTGGTGAGGATGAGGGACATCTCGGTTGCACTGACACGCTGCAGCGCCCAGTTCTCACCGAGGATGGTCAACGCAGTCGTCACCACACCTGACCACACACACACACACGCACACACAGACACAGACGCACAAACGCACAGACACATAAAGGCATCGACTCACTCATCTGTGCTGGGTCCATCCCATCTGCCCACCCGTCCAGAAGATGGCGAGCAGGACGGTCGGCTTCTGGATCGCGGCCGCGATCTGCCCCCACGCCAGCCCGCCGATTCCCGTCTCCCACCCGCCAGTGAACACCTCACGCAGCGTGTAGGCGCCCGCAACCGCCGCAACTCCTGACGGAAGGAATGGTGTGGGCGCGGCGCAGATGTTGACCACATGCGCATCGCATGTGTCTCGTTCGTTCGTGCGTAGGCGTACCTATCGTGAGTGCAGCCGAGTATGGGACGACGTCCTTGTCGTACTCCTGCATGGCGTCCTCCACCATGATGTAGCACACGGCAAAACCCACAGCCTGCACACATGACATCGATCGACAGTTGGAGAGGGGGAAGCCTGCCTGCTCCCATCCTATGTGTGTGTGTGTGTCGGTGTGGCTCCATGAGTATACCTGGAGCAGTGCCAGCCCTTCCCCGATGAATGGGATACTCGCCCAGAAACCGCTCGGCGGCACCACTGCCGTGCTCGCCGCAGCGGCCCTGTCCACACACACACACACACACACACAGAGAGAGAGAGAGAGAGAGGGGTATGCACTCGAACCACTGCTCGCCTTCTCAAGCATCCGTACGTGGCAGATCCGGCATTGAGGAAATCGAAGGGCAGAGGCAGCTCCAGAAGACCGACACCACTGGCAGCCAACAAAGCCGCTACCCATGACCTGAAATATCAAGAAGGAAGGTCAGCATCTCCGTGGCTGGCATCTGGTGGTGAATATGCGGACCTCTGCTGGATGGTCTTGCCCCTGAGGGCCTCAAGGAACGGGATGATGACCACGGACAAGGAGCAGAAGAAGGCACACGTGTTGGCGTTGATAAACTGCAGGGAGAGTGCCTGGCTAACATAGCCCAGGCCGCCAGGCACGCCGGCGAGAAAACCGTCACGGATGGCTCCCTGGACACACGCGCACACACACGCGCAATCGTCTCGTTCAAAGGCATTGATCTCCGCCGCGCGTGCGTACCTTTTGTATGCCCTTTTTGAACATGAATGGCAGCAGCACCAGCGCAGACACCGAGAAACGCGCCAGCCCGCCGATAGAGGTCAGCCCCTCCTCGCCAATGATCTTGACGGCACCGAAGTTCTGACACACACACCCACACCACCGAGGGATGATCGATCGATGCACCCACGCATGGATGAAGGTGTGCATTGCATTGGCCGCTCACTCACCGTGCCGTATAGGAATGCGATGAAGAAGATAAGTGCCCTGGGCAATATCCGACTCCAGTCCTTGCCCTTCTTTGGGGTCGCACTGCCGCCCTCCTTCCCCTCGCCCATTGCATCGAGAAACAGCGTCGTCAGCGCCTCCTCCTGCCGCTCGAGAGATGACACCCATGATGATGATGATGGCGGCTGCCATGTTGGCCAGACCGGCAACGACTCTTCGGGCTCTTTCTGCAACATGTTCTCTCGCCTCTTCAGGAGGGCGGACGGCGTCAGTGCTCGCGTCGGCGTGATAAAGGATAAGTGGCTCTGCCTCTCGGCCGATGCGGCAGCCATCATCGTGTAGACGAGGAGCACCGAAAGGGGGAAGGGGGAGGGGACAAGACACATCATGCTGACTGCGCGCCTCCTTGGCGGTGATCTCGGTGCTGATGGGCTGCCGGCTGAGCATGGCGTAGCAGCACTGTCTGCATGGCCTCGTCTTCTCTCCGATGACCACATCGCCCTCATCCAAAGCCCTCCACTCTGCAGCCGCTTTGCGGCGACAAGAGAAGTGAAGAAAGAGAAAATCGGCAGATGTCCTGCCTCCCGGGTCTCTGCGCACTCAGCTGAGCCCACAAACCAACAGAATCGGGGGAGATCTTTGCCCAGAAAAATGCGAGCTTATACTGCGAGCCTGTAACTTGTGCATCTATGAGTTGATGGGGCTCTGAATGTCTTCTGTGAGCCTAGAGAGTGACTTCGTGTTAATGTTCAAGCGCTTCTTCGGCTCCACACCGACCAATTCCGCATCTACCTCCCCGCGACCTTCACCCAAGACCGCAGATCAAGCCAGGCAGGAAGAAGAGGACGCTCCCAATCTGACCATGTCGCCCAAGGGCCGCACAAGCCTCAAGGAGGAGACGGTTGAGAAGCCTCCCCTCTCGCCAGGGATGCAGCCGTCCATTCGGTCCAGCACGGCTGCGTCCACGAGGCCACCGAAGGACGAGAAAGCTCACGACAGGAAAAGGTGGGTAAGGCAAGAGCAGGGGAGGGAAGGGGGACGGGCGAGCAAGCGCAAGACGATCTGCCCATGGCCTCTCCCTCTGGCCGTGTTGTGCAGGTTTTATCGTAACTGTGCTTTCCTCAAGGTGTCAAGCGAGAATCCAATCGTGGCCGCCATGTCCCGCACATGCACCCCGTGCGTCGACTTCACCCAGCGAGTTGCGGGAAGATCCTCAGGCAGCCAGCAGACACCACCACCTGCTGCTGCTGCTGCGGCGGCGGCCGCTGCAGGGGGCAAGTGAACCGGGGCGTTGCATCGTGTGTACTGTAGGTCTTGTATGCGCTGTGGTTGGTGCTACAGGGACTGAGGGAACAGAGAGAGAGGCAGGTCAGTGAGCGTGTCACTTTTTTCGTACGCGAAGTAGCCAGGATCCCCCCGATTGTATGGCAGGATGTGGTGCTCGCTGTCTGGTTGAAATCGATTGTGCGCACCCAACGCTCTACCGTTCGTTCATCACTTGAGGGATGAAAGCTGGAGATGCGTGGATTCGTTGGCTGGTCTCATGCTGCTGCGGTCGGTACTTGTGCTTACGATGCATGCGATGCGCTGCGTGGCCTCCGTATGTACGTATAGTGGTGAGTGACACAACGGTCTATCCATCTTCTCCATCTAAGTCAGCCAGCCATGGTGCGTATGGCCCAAGTGTCTCCAATGCCTTGCGGTGATGTCACACGAGTGGAGCGGACTTGCTCTCGTGTCGGATCGCCGCGTGGCAGAGGAGGCACTGGGACCACTCACGCCAATCCGCGACTCGGTGGTGCTGCTCCTTTTCTTTTTCTGTCATTGGGCCAGTGTGAGAGAGGCAGTAGGCCGTCGCAGCTTGAGCCATTGGGAGATTGTGCTACGTGTCCGTTGACAGAAAGACAGACAAGACGGGTCTGTATTGAACCTTTCGTGCATTCTGAACGTAATAATTTTGTGCGGCTTTATGTGAAGGTGGCAAGTCAACTCATCCTGACCAAAGGCAATGAACACGTGGTGAAACAGGGGCTGAAGTTTTTCGCCGTGAGGATGGGGACAAAGCAACACAAAAATGAGCAGCGCCAAGCCGACGCTAAGCCTGCTGATCCGTCTGCACCATGGTTAACAGAGGAGACATCGGATGTGATGTGCGTTTGGCCATCTCAAGACGCCTCTTGTCCCGCCACTTGGGTCACTCGTGATGCGATTGCCGGTATGTCTGTCGATGAAACGAAGCAGCGGGAGCTCTTGGCCCGTGCCAGTGTCTCGAGGAAAGGCAGAGAGGGCTGGGCACACTGGCAGAGGTACTGGCCTCACGCGAGACACACAGGGCAATGCAGAGGAGAGGGAAGCCAGGCAATGGGTGGTGCAGAGTGAGCTGTGGCAATGACGGCAGATGCTTTTTTTCATGACTTTTGTATCTGTGAGAACAATAAAGACATGATCGAATTGAGGTTGTCCTCTCCTTCAGTACAAGTCAAAGCACACGCACAGTGCGATCATCTATTGATGGACATGAGATTCATCTCGCTTGTTCCTCACTGCGGGGCGGTCCTCCCCTCCCCAGAGACGTGAAGTCAGTGTACAGCAGGCCCACACCCGTCAAAACGACCAGCAGGATGCCGAATACGGCTATGCCGATCAAATAGAAACTGTCCCAGCACTCCAGCTGGCGGTGCACGCAAAGCAGAGACACGCAACAAGGACATGAGGGATGATTGAAATATGTCTGTCCATTCTTCCGTACCTTTGTCCAGCTTCCCTCAGTGGCCGTGCCATTGGGGTAGCCGCACGTTGTGTTGTTGACAGTGACGTCGTCAGTGGGCGATACATTGGTAGGAGGAGGGCCTTGATCATCTTCGGGGCCAACACCACCAGCCAACGGGCGAGAAGTGGGATCACTTGTATTACCGTGTGGTTCAGCGTCAAGACCTGCGGACAATACAAGGGATCTATTCGTGAGCTGCCGTGTTGGGGCTTCCCCTTACCAGAGAAAAGGCGTTTGCCATGGGCATCGCGCCCATCTGTTGTGTTGGTGCGGGGTCTTTCGAGTATGGCATTTCCAAATGAAGGGACGGCCGAGGAGTCGTGCCGATGTATCACTGCAATGACATGCATCAATGCGAAGTGAATGTGCCTCGCCCCCTGCTTACCCTTGTGTTTGTGTTCGCCCCCCACGGCCGAAGCGCCTGCAGCAGTCAAAAACACATGAGCCCCTCACTCTTTGCAAACACGAGCCGCTTCGCAACTGCCCTCTCACCGCTATCAATGCTCTCTTCTCCCGTTCTCGTCGGCCTCATCGCAAGCACTGCCAGAGCAGCCATGTAAGCGACGAGAAGCCGCCCAGGCAAACTTGAAGGCAGGGAGCGGAGATAGACCATCAACACTGGAGGGTGGGTATGGCTGGGCTGCTCGGCTTCATTGCAGCGTTGCCTGATGCTTCATTCACCAGGCAACAGAGAGCTGCGGGCAACGAAGAAGGGAGGAGAAGGGATTTTGCGAGCCGAAAGCGATCGCGAGGGACATTGCAACGTAAATCACGGAAGAAAGTGAAAGTGCACTTTCACATACGCCTCTCTCTCGAGAACACTTCTTGGTCCACACAGACACATCTCTCAAGACATCCATGGCGTGCAGCGCATCTCACAGCAGCCACCACCCACATGCCCTCTGCCCATTCACAAGTACACCTGCTGTGTGTCTGTGATTGGCTGTCTGCATCTCGGACACAGCCGCTTTGCCAAAGGGCCGCCCATCAGCCGATCGGCACACTCACCACACATACACAAATGACGCTGCACACACACATAACAAATACCATGCAGACGAAAGGGAAACATGGAGGGAGGCATCGATCACCTGCACGCAGGTGTGCTTACACATGGGATGAGCAGAATGGACTTGTCTTTGTCCATGCACACGTCACACTTGAAATGTTCGCCATCGTCCGCTGCAGCCAAAGGGGCGCTGCTCGATGATGGTGAGCTGGGCTGCTGGCGGGCGTTCATCGCCTGAGCAAGTCTGCAGAGGAAACAGCATAGACAAACAACAGGGGGGATGTCGTGTCTCTCCGATCCCCCCCTTGTTGGTTCGATTGGCTGACTTCCATTGTGTCTCTTGCAGCTGACGTATCAGCACATCCTCCTTCTTTTTGGCGGCCAGCTGTGTCTGCTCCAGATGCCGGCAGAGCTGATCCGCCAGATGTTCGCTGTCACGTCCGCCTGCAGTGCTCTCTTGTCCGCCTGTGTTGGTCAGTTGTGCGAGTCGATTGGGATGGTCCATCGTGGCGGCGGCTGGGGGGAACGTAGGCGGCATTGGCCCGCGATTGCCACCAGTGCTGCCGTTGTTTCGGTTGGTCCATGCTGACACTCGATTAGCGTCCTGACGCACGGTCAGGCCGTGTGGACCGACATGAGCGGGTGGGTATGCAGAGCGGCTGGCCGACGGCTGAACAACTGCCATCGGGGCGAGGGGCGGCGGGCTGCTGAAGCATGACATATACATGTCGCCAAGCAGGTCTTTCACATGGCCCTCTCTGTGTCTCTATCTGTGCACCGGCGTGTGCGAATGTCTGTCGGTATGGGACTCCGATTGCTTTGGCCGGCAGGGGGGCGGACAGCAGACGATGGGAAAGGCCGGCCGCCCATACTGAATCAACACCAACAGAGACACAGAGGGGATACCACACACATACATCCAAATGAATGCGGCATGCCTACTTGGGTGTCTGTGTCGAGTTGGCAGGAGCCGGCTGCTGCTGCTGCTGTCGGTTAGCGCTGTGTCTCTGTTTGGCCTTTCTGCGATGGCCAATGACAGGGACAAACTCACCATCATTGTCATTGTCCGCAGACACGGGAGCTGCACCATCGTACGACGATGATGAAGGAACGACCCCCACACACACAACACAATACAGTGAAGAACCGCGAAAAAATGGCCGCCGCCGCGTATGTGTGCTTATTGTGTGCTTATCTGACCTGGGGTTGGCAGGTGTTGTCGACGACACTGACGGCTCATCGTCCTCATCAATCGCCTCAGACACCAAGTGCTGTCGTTCTTGGTCGTGGCCGCTTTTGGTTCTCTTCTTGCCGCGCTTTTTGTTTTTCTTGGTCTTTTCTCTCGCTTCCTCAGCTATCAGCTCCTCGGCCATCTTAGCGGCTGTAGCGGCTTCACATCCCCTCTTCTGCTGCTGTGCTGGAGCACTCGTCTCGCCCATACCTCTCTGAATCTCGAGAACGTATTTGCGGATGAGACGTTCTGAGGCCGTCGTGCTTGGGAGGAGCTTGACGGATGCACCATGTTGCAGCAGTTGCCGGATGACTTGCCTCCGCCTTTCAATCTCCGCTGCTGAGACCTTATCCCTTAGGGCATCACGAAGCACTTCGCCCGCGGCCTGAAATGGCGTCGTGCCCTCTTCACACAAAGAGGACCCTTCTGTGAGGACCTCCCCAGTGGCGGCTACGTAGATTTTTGCATAATTCTCGTTAATCTCCGCAGCCCCGAGCTTCCCGCACAGCCAATCAACAACATGCAGAGCGCCCTGAGCCACAGCGATGTCAAGTGGGGAGTCTCCATCCTTGTCTCTCACGGTGAGGGAGGCGCCGTTTGCAGCCAAGAGATCCAGGTAGGCGTGCATGAAGCCCGGCGATACCTCGGTCGTGATATATCCTGCCGCCTGGATGGGCGTTTCGCCGTCAGCAGTTTGTTCAGTTGCGAGAGGTGGGTCGTGCTGAAAAAGTAAGCGATAAACGGCGAGCAGTGCGGCTTCGTAGTGGGGGCTCGGCGGGGAAGGAATGAGTTCATCCCGTGGGAGAAAACCCAAGTCCATGTCTCGTGTCTTCGTCCCAGCCTTAAGAAGAATGTCCATGGCCGTCGGATTGGCAAAAGCCATATAAGCTGGGCTGCAGTCGGAGGAGTCACCGTCGACGTCAGCACCAGCGGCGATGAGTGCCTCGAGCACCGCCCGCTGCATCTCGCTCGATGGCCACATAGGAAGCTTGACTCCCTTGAAAGTGTTGTCCTCATTCGTCCACGAACCAACACTCAAGGACATGGCTTCCACGGTGCATGCCTCATCAATCGCAACAGATAGCAAGTCGCGGGGCTCGGTTTCGTCGATGCCGACACGAAGACTAACGGCCGCGTTGACATCTGCCCCTTCTCCGGCGAGACGAGCAACTTCGTCGGACGACACGATGCTCCGGTTTATGATCTTGATCGCCAGCTGCCTCGTGGCAGGGCGGATCCTTTCCTGGTCCAGCGTGTCCGTCGCAGAGCGAACAATCACACACTTCTCGTCGATCTCAGGACACCGAGGATCTTGAATGGCGGCCGACATCGTTGGTGGGAAATCGACCGCAACACCTGTCCACGCGGACGAAGAGAAAGAATGAAGACCAGAAAGGCAAAATGGCATCACGTGTCTCCCAATCCACCTCAGATTCTGAAGTGTGCCTGTGGAAATGTCAGCGGAACGGCACGTACGACGAAATTGCTCATACCCTGCGCGTTGGGGGAGAACTTCAAGGGGGGAGGCCACCGGGACTTGTCTTTATCAACACTGGAGGGTGGGTATGGCTGGGCTGCTCGCCTTCATTGCAGCGTTGCCTGATGCTTCATTCACCAGGCAACAGAGAGCTGCGGGCAACGAAGAAGGGGAGAGAAGGGATTTTGCGAGCCGAAAGCGATCGCGAAATGACGCTCGGGGGGCGATAGCAACGTAAGTCACGGAAGAAGGTGAAAGTGCACTTTCACATACGCCTCTCTCTCGAGAACACTTCTTGGTCCCTCGTTCATTCCTATTCAGGTATATCATGGCGTTCCGGGCTCGCCAGCGCCCCAAGCCTCCACCAGTGCCCTCCCTCTGGAGCATCGCACTCAACAAGGCCGCCACCATGGCCATGGCCGGCGAGGGCAGAAGCAGCCGTCAGGCCCTCCTCGCGCAGCTCAGCAAACAGCCCATGACGGAGATCCCTGCTGGCATGACGCTGCCGGTGGCCCTCGAGCAGCACAAAGAGCAGATCATGACTCGGGAGGGCCTCTCTGGCGTGCTGTCATTCGCCACAGGCAATGACGTGGAGGCGGCCATCAAGACGGTGTACGTGTTGGAGAAGGGCGGGGCGTGGCGGGAGTGGGTGGGGCCCCTCCATCTCGCCAAACACCACGGATGGGTGGATGGCCCGCTTCCCATTCAGCTGACGGGCGACGACCTGGAGAACATCGGTAGCAAGAGGGACTTCGACGTGCGGCCCAAGAGCGTTCGGCAGTTTTCGGTGTTTAGCCATCGGTTGACGAGGGAGAACGAGTGGGGGCTGGCGCTGGAGGAGATGGAAGGTTTGGTGGACTACCACATGCGGCCGAGGGTAGACTGCCCTTTCCCACACGACCCCAAGGACCCGCCGTGCGATTCTGAGAGTAAGTCGACACACACAATGATACTCAGATGGCGTGCACTGAGAATGGCAGCAGTCATGTGTGTAATGTGTGTGTGTCTGCAGTATTTGGTGGAGGAGGCAGCGCGTCTAGCTTCAGAGGCACCATCGTGTGCTAGGAAGTAAGTATTCACCCACCGTCCCCCACCCCCTTTCACTCGCTCTGTTCCCCCCATGTCTGCCTGCCTCTCAGCATGCAAGGCGGCGAGGCGTGGCCAGGCAGCATGAAGACGCTCGTGGGCCGAGAGGTGGGGGAGAGCACCAGGGCGTTCGCGCGTGCGTCGGCCATCATCCACAGCAACCAGGACCACGCCGCCTTTCCGTCCGTCACGTACACCAGCCCAGACGAGATTTTCGAGGATTGGGGCAAGCGCATCACGCTGCACGGCGATAAGGCGGGCGACGAGTACGCCCTCTACCTGGAACTCAAGACGGCACACGATTGGGACATGGACATGGACTACGACGAAAGCGAGCCTGTAGATAAGGCTGTAGTGACCCTCGTGACGACCGCCGAGGGGTGGGGCCAGCAGGCGGCTGCCGTGGCCAAGGCGAGGGAGGCGCTGGGGGAAGAGGACGTGAAGCTGCTCTTGGGCAGCCGCGCCTTAGCACGGTGGGCAGGCGATGCAGTGAATGCGGTCCCGCAGCCATGCCGGGCCCCTCCTCACAGCAGCCAGTGCGTGCATCAGTGAGGGCTCTACTCGGGCTACTCACTGATGGATGGATGGCAGCTGCATTCTCTTAGTGTAGTGTCCGGGTGTCTCCTGACTGACCTGTTTGTACATATGATCTGGGGGCATAGCATGGCGGGGGGAGATACCTTTGTCCAACTCATTCATTCATGTGTGTCTGCCGCGGCTGATGTTGGTGTCGTGTGGCGTGTGTCGATCAATGGCTGTGTGTGGCTGGTGTGCGGGCGGGGAGGTGCCTGCGACGGGGGTGATGGATCAATGCCGCATGTAGCCGTCCTCACGGCCGCAGGGGCGTGCATCAGTCCCGTTGGGCGTACTTCTCACACCCTCCATGAAGGCACACGTCGGCCTGATGTGAACGTGTGTGATTTGCGACAGAGTGTCGTGGATATATATCTCCTGTGGTTTGTGCAGCGTATGTGTCGACTATTGGGTGAAATATTGAGAGACGTGCATCTGATCTACAAGCAGACATGCAAAAGAACAAAATCAGTCAGTGCTGAGCGTCCAACGAAGAAAGAGCTACACTCTTGCTATGTGTGAAGAACGTCTACACAGAGTCCCCTCGTCCATCGCAGGCAGCCCAATGCATTCCATGGAGATGAAGGCGGGGCCTGGCCTGGCCTGCTGGTTCTGCAGACAGACGGGTGGAAGTCGACTTCTCTCTGTCGACTCTCCAATCGTCGAACACAACAGCCGAGCCCGTCGGTCTTCTCCAAGCAACGCATCAATCGCCTCAGTCGGTCACGGCCGGTCAGTCAGCTAGCTACACAACAGGCCTTCCACTAGTGGTCTCCTCCAGTCGGTCCATGAGCCGTGCCGCCGCCTCCCTGGCGGCCTCACTCTTCTCCCTCCCCTCCGCCCCGTCCTGGCTGCCCACCACCATGCCACCCACACCCAACACCCAGTCAGCTGCCATCCCGCCAGACGCGTCAGGAACCGACCGCACCGCCAGCTCCACGTGCAGCCCCTCTGTGCCGCCGTCGAGATGGCCCATCGGGAAGGGGTAGTAGTGCACCGACAGGTCAGCGGCCGACAGCTCGGGGTCCCGGATGGCGACTGAAGTGCCGTGGTGTGTGTGGTGGGTCTTGGCCGTGTGGAGGTCCAGCAAGGAGCTGGCCCACATCAGAAGACACAGCGCCTTTCGGCCCCACTCCTCCAGTGTGTGCAGCAGCTCGGCCAGAGGAATGAGGGACTCGCTCGCCGAAGGTCCATGGCCGCTGTCGTCGGAGACTCTGCTGCCCATTGGCACCGAATCAGCAGAAGAGCCTGACCCCCGCAGCACGCCGCTCTTGCGGTGCTTCTTGTCGTCATCCGCCACGATGTGCGCCGCGACCGACAGAGACGTCTCCAGCCAGCCGACCAGATCGGTCATGGATCCGACAATGGCTGGCGAGATGACCTTCCGGCGCGCCTCGTGTGTCTGGTCGTCCCGCCTGCTGCTGGAAGTGGCAGTGGTGTCCTTGAGCCTGGTGTGCTGTGGGGGGCTGGTCCACTGTGAGTGGTGGTAGGCGATGCACAAGAGGGTCAGAGCTGCTTGGGTGGCCGCCAGGCCGACCTTGATCATCTTGGCCACCTCGGTCCGCCCCTCAGTGATGCGACTCAGGGCCTCCTCCTCCCGCGCCTCGGCCATCAGGCCCCCACCCGCCATGTCAGACACACCCACACCGACACGATCGCTGCTTATGGTCATCTCCGGTGGATGGGCGATGGCGGCTGCCTCGGCCGCAGCGACCTTGAGCAGACTCTCCATCAGCCGCCCCGCACGACCACCGAGCAGCCCTCCCTTCTCGCTGAAGAGAGACGACTCCCGCAGCGACGTGCTCATGGACATGGGCGACGGGTCCATCACAGACGATGAGCTGGCGGGGGGGAGAGAGCGGGCCAGTGACTGGAGGGCGGTGCTGAGGGGCGGCACCAGTCCGTCGAGCGTGTCATTGGCGCCCCGGATGGCCGCGTACTCGTCCTGCAACGCGTCAGAATCGTCGCCACCATGGATGGGGTTGAGCTGCCACGCCGTCATGTGGTCCTCTAGGTCCTTGACGGCAGCCACCGATCGCCTCTCCACAGCGGCCGTGTCCGCCCCCTTGTTGTCGTTGTCGGGGGCCTCGACGCTCTTCATGACGTCGGCGTTCTCCCTCTCCATCAGCAGCCGGTCGCGCGAGTGAACCGCCTGCAGGAGGGAGAAGCGGTCGTCCACCAGCTGTGCGGCGAGGTGCTTCCAGAACTGGGAGAAGAGAGCAGCGATGTGCCAGTTGTAAGGGATGGGCTGCGGGGCCGACGGGGACGAGTGGCGGATGTGCTGCGTGTGGGCGATGAGCGTCAGAATGCCCTCCAGACTGACCCGACTCTTCTCGAACAAACCCACGGCATTCGAACGCTGACACACACAACGATAGAAGAAACAGCGTCAAGGTAAGTAAGACCAAAACTCGCGCCCTGCCTGTGAGTTGTGTTATGTTGTGTTGTTGTCACCCACCTGGAATTTCTCTATGAATCTGTTGAGTGTGGACACGAGATAGGCCCGCTGTGCCTTGAGCGTCCACTGCCCCTCACCACCACCACCGCGGCCGCCCTCTCTCCCCTCATCCCGCCCCTCTGGCTGGTCCGGCAGCAGCCCCAGCAGTGTGGGCGAGCTCTTGAGCATGGCAAACCAAAACGTGAGGCTGTACTGACGCAGCGGCGCACCTCCCTGGTCCTGCCCCTGGCCCTGGCTGTCTTCCATGTCAAGCAGCGGCAGCAGCTGACCCATCACCTGCGTCACCAGCAGCACCCGCAGCTGGTCCACACACCCCAGGACGTCAGCAGAGGGCTGGTGGTGGCCTCTCGACAGCCGCGCCACATCTGCATGTGGGGCGTTGGGCTGTGTGAGCTGCATCAGTCGGCTCCACAGGGCGAAGCCAGAGCCGTCATCCCTCTGCTTGCGGGTGCGATCGCTCTTGACGAAGACGTGGAAGCCCACCGGTGGTCGACGCAGGATGGATCGCCACTCGTGTGGTGGGTTGGGGGGCTTGCGGGCGGGAGGGGGCGGCATGAGGGAGTGGAGGTCGTGCATGAGAGGCGGGATGAGGATGTGCAGCACCTTGAGCGACTGGAAACACACCATGGGGCCATTCTGGGGCGACCTGCAGTGAATGCAACGACCCCATGCCACAATACCATCAGAATGCTTCTCTCGGTGTCTGTCTCGTGTGGTGTGCTTAGCTCACATTTGCCGTGTCAGTGTGGGTATCATGGCCTGGTTGATGGCGTCGAGCAGCTCGGGCTCCACCGCCCCCTCCCCCACCAGCACCACCCTCTTGCCCCCCACTATCTCACCAGCCATCCCCTCCATCACTTCCAGAGCCCTCGACCGCACATCCACCGGCGCGCTCCGCAGCGGCTCGCAGCCCGAGTGGTCGGTGAGCTTGGAGAGGTTCTGGATGAGGTTGGGCGTCATGAATGTGGATCGCGCCTTGGGGATGGCGGATGAGAGCAGCTGCATGGGCACGGTGAGGTAGTCGTAGCAGCCGCGGATAATCTCCTCTAGCGTCAGCTCGGGATGGCCATTGGGGTTCTGCACGGCGGACTGCGCGTCTTGCTCGAGCTGGGTGATCAGGCTGGGAACCAAATCGGTCAACGTCGCCAACTGCAAAGGAGGGAGCATCCACATACCATATATGCAGCACTCACCCACACCCACACACGGCACTCCCCACCCATGAGATTACTTACTGTGAGTTCGAGTGCCGTGTCGAGCTGTCTGTCTTGTTCGTCCACTTCGCTTCTATCCTCGCCGGCCCGTGCGGTCCACAGCCCGTCGATGAACGGCATGAGGTCGTACTCGAGCGACCACAGGAGGAAGATCAGGTCGGTCCCCATCAGACACTCAATGCACAGCATCACCTGAACCAACAGAGAGATGTGGGTCGGCCAGTGGGATGGGTGTCTGCCGACCTTCCTTACCTTGGCTTTGACGTCGTTTGGCAGTGGTCTGCGCGTGTTGAGCAGCTGCAGCACAGTGGACAGCATGTCGCCCTGAAACAAGTCCTGGAGCATCTCAACGTCGCTGCACACACACACCGACACACACAGAGGACACAACCATCACATACACTCAATTGCACCTGACACCACCATCTCATCAAAGCTCTCAAGGCGTGCATATCAGATGTGCTGTGCCCGGCCACGCACTTGGCATGGACGATGCCCACGAGGGCCAGGTTGACCCCAGCGTGTGCCGCTTCCCCCATGTGAGAGCACATGGCGGCCCGCATCATCTCCCTCACGTTGGGCGTCATCTCCCGCGTGTAGACCCCCATCTCCTCGCCCCTCTCGTACACCGCCGCCCACACATTCAGCAGCCCATGCCACCACTTGGGAGCCAGAGTGGCCAGCTCAGACAAGGTCTTGAGGCACTCCACCGCCAGGAGGTAGGGCGACCACTCGTGGGTTGTCTGGTCGGGCTCCTCTGTCTGCCCCCAATCGTCGAGGTGAGCAATGGGGCCCCCTGCTGCTGCTGCTGCTGGTGATGGTGCTGCTGCTGATGGGATGCGGGCGTCCTGCTGCTGCTGCTGTCTGGTGGGTGTGGGTGAGAAGGGGTGTGCCTGCCAGTGGGCGGCTGCCCTAGGTGTGGTTGGGCGTGTGCGTGGTGCTGAGCAGATGATCATGGCCTCACACGCCAGGTTGTAGAAGATTTGCCACGCCTCGTTGGATGTCGGCAGCAAACGCTCCAACGCCCCTAGATAGAACCGGACACGCAGAGAACCAAGATTCTACGTGTGTGTGTGCGTGTGCATTGGCGTGTGTGTTGTTCGTATTTGCGAGCGCTAGTTACATCTGCCGGCTGCTGTGGCGATGTTGCCGAGCGTCCGAACCGCGAAATGCACGACAATCTGCACAAAGAGACACACGGAAGAACGTCTTAGATCCATTGGAAAGAGGGATAGACACACGTGCATAGCATTGCATATCGTCTGCCTGGCTTACCGGGTCTTCGCCGACCGTCCGCCTGTCGATGATGAGCTTCTTGATGATGGCAGGGGCGTCGTCTGGTGTGGGGAAGCCATCACCAGACGGCCGCTGCCGATTGTGGGTCACAGCCACATAGTACAGCAGCTCGCCAAACGTCGCAGCGGCCTGACGCCTGCACGGACAACACCAAGAGGAACACCTGTCAGGTGTGTATGCTGCCCTGCCCTGCCAGCGCATGGTATGTCAGGTACCTACCTGAGTTGTCTGGTGAGTTTGACGTCGTGGTCGCCCTCGGGTGCCTTGGTGAGTATGTTGATGAGGACATCCCAGAGCCTGTAGCTCCTGCCCAGCTCCACTGGCAGGTCACCGCCGTGGCGGATCATCTGACCCAATGCCGAGAGGGTCGCCACACGGTACGAGGCTCGTGGGGGAGACGTCTCGTGACTGACACACACATACACCCTCACACGCGTGTTGTGGTCTCTCTCTTTGTTGCTTACTGGACAACATTGACGAGCAGCTTGGTCAGTTGCGACCGCAGGAGTGCGTCGGCCAGCCCGGGCCAGCCCACTTCGGCGAGACAGCCGACGTACTTGACCACGGCTGTCTTCTGCTCCGTGGTGCAGGTGTCGCTTTGTGACGAAGGTGTGGACCGCCCGTATGGCTCGTTGGCGGCGAGTGTCTTGAAGATCGACGACAGCAGGGAGGGGAGGTACATCTCGTCACGCTATGTGGTGCAGGAAGGGACGATCGTTGATGCATGCAGTGAGTGCAGTGTGTTTCTCACCCACCCCACCTGCAATTTGCGTTTGAGTGCGTCGAAGCTCGGCAGGCTGAAGGGTGCGTGGGCCCGCCAGTCTTGCTCCCAATCCTCGTCGGCAAGGGTGGTGTCGTCACCTCCATTGCTTCCATACTGACCAACCAAACAGGAGTGGGACAACTGCACTGTGCGCTGGGGTGATCCTCTCTCTGATGGTATGGTGTACCTGCCTGCCTGCCTGCCTACTGTGTCTATTTTGACGAGGTGCTGGTCGTAGATTGGCTGCCGGCGGGCGAATCCACCACTGCCCTCCACCTCACACTGCGCAGCGCACACACAAACAGACGCCAATACGCACAGCTGAAGATACTTACTGTCATCCTCTGTCTGTCTCACCAGCAGTTTCTCCAGTTTGGCGCGTTTGGTTGGCTGCACGTTGGACAGCATGGTCAGCCGGGGCATCTGGTGGTCCTCCACACCCCGTCTGCCGCCCCCACCATCCCCATCCTCCCCCTCTCCCTCTTGCTCATCGTCGTCGTCATGGTCCATCTGGGGCGGCACCTCCCCATTGAACTGCTCATAGATGTCACCGGGGCTCTCCTGCTGATACTGATGCTGCTGCTGGTCGATCGCCGCGACAGAGCTGGTGGCCTCGGGCGTGACGTGGCTGTTGTCTGTGTCATTGGCGTGTCGACGGCGCACCACAGCTGGGGAGGCAATCAGGCGGTGAGGGCTCTCGTCCTCCCTGTCCCTGTCCTGCCGCCGCTGCGGCCGCATCGCCGTCCGCTCTCTGCGGTACTCCTGCCTGTCGTGGGTGGACGACGGCCGATACCGATCGGGCTCCTCGGCATAAGGCGGTCTTGCGGGGTCGCGGATGAAGCCACCGGCACTCCCGTGGCTGCCGCGCTTGATGGGCGTGTGCAGGGCCGCGTTCATGCGATCGTCCTCGTCGACGTAGGCGTCGTCCTGGTATGCGGCCTCGTCGCCCATCTGTCGGCTGACCATGGGGGAGGGGGGGAGGTCGTCGGAGTCGCCCACAGTGGCGCGTAGGATCTGTAGGCTGATGTCGGTGTACTTGTCGAGCTGGGCTCTCTCAGTGGGTGTGAGGGCCACTTGGGGAGGGTCCCAGAGCTCGTGAGAGACCAGGTCTCTGAAAGGATGAAAGGATAACGATCACATGACATCAGTCAGTCACAGGTGGATGTCCTGTCTGTCTGTGTAAGGGCTGGCGTGGAGTGGCGTACTCCCAAGTGATTCTGTGTCTCCAGTCCTTGGTGAGCAGCCCCTTGAGCAGCGACAGCAGCTGGGGAGTGATGCGCACGTCGCGCGGGTCGTCGGGAGGGACCTTGCGGGCGCCACGCGAGTCATACTTGCGATCGCCTGACACAAGGACAAGAGTAGGTGTGCAGGCACGTGTCTGGGAATGCTGTGCGTTGGGTACCTCTGGCTGCTCGTCTGGGGGCTGCCTTGTCGATGGGCGGGAACTCTACCTCTTGCGCCAGGATCATGCTGACAGACAGACAGACACCAAACGCAACAGCAGCAAAGTATCAAGCGGCTCGGCTGGTGACACTGCACTGGCTCTTGTCTAACTAACAAACTTCTTGCTTGTGTCATCTTATTTACTGTTTGAGTTGTTCGACGGTGTCTGCCTGGAAGGGAATGTGCCCCATGAGCGACTCGTACAGGATGCACCCGTACGCCCACAGGTCGCTGTGGATCGTCGGGATCATACCTACACACACATGCACACACACACACACACCCCGATCCACCACGGACCATTGTCTTCCCTCCCTCTGTGTTGCCTGTACCGCTTCTGATGAGTTCTGGCGACCAGTAGCACGGCGCACCCATCACCTCCAAACCCTCAGCCTGACACACACACACACACATGCATGGCTGTATAGCTCACGGCTGAGTGCTTTCCTCCCCCTCCCTCCCGTGGTTCATTGACCCGTCTGTGTGGCGTGTGTTGCTGTCCGATGCTGCCTCTGAGCGGCAGGCCGGCGTCCAACTGTATCTCGTGCAGCAGCTCGTCCAGCGACCGGGTGGCGCCGAAGTTGCGCAGCTTCAGCACTCCAGACTCGTTGAACAACGCATTGCCGGGGCTGTGGGCACAATTATATTATCAACACCAGACACACACATCTCCATGGTCGGGTGTGTGTGATGTGTGGGTGTGTGGGTGTGTGTAATGTCGTGGCTTGGCTTGGCTTACGCGAGTTCTCCGTGGACGAATCCCTGTGAGTGGAGGTATCGTATGCCGCACGCCATCGCACGACCGAAGTCCTGCAGCGATATCTCGGGCATCTGAATGAAATGGGGGGATGGCATCCATCGACACACACGGAAAGGAGAACATATAAGCCGACCACTTTCACCTTCCGTCATCTGTCAATGTGTGTGCTTGTTGCTCACCCGTCCGTCCATCGTCAACACGGTGCGCAGGTCCTGACCTGAATGGACGGACACAGACACACTCACTGATGCACTCAGTGCACCCAGTCTCTCCGCCATCTCACCTGGGCAGTACTCATACACGACCCACACGTGGTTTCTGCTCTCGAACTGCTCAATGTACCGCAGGATGTTCTCGTGCCACCGACCGCCGTCATCTATCACGCCCCCGCCGCCCAGCACGTGGGCGTGTGGTGCGATGGAGTCTGACGGCATGATGTGGGAGCCCCTGAGGATCATGGACGACTGCAGGGGCATGTGGTAGGGGTCAGAGGGGTTCTGCAGCGGGTTATACGAGGCCAGGTGACGCATCACACGGTCCTGCGACACAACGACACACACAGAGAAGTGAGGGAGGTTATGGACAGCGGTGCGATCTGTTTTGTGTGTGTCTTGTGTGTGTTGGTTGCCTTACCTCGTTGAGGACGAACTCCCGCTGATTTTTGGGGTACCGCTTCAACACCACAAACTCTATCGTGTTCTTGCGACGACCCTGAACACACAGACACAGACCCACACAGACACACCGACACACAGGTCAAGTCAACACATTCACACACAGGCCCGTGCTAACCTTGAAGACTTCAGTGGTCCTGCCCCTGCCGATCTGGTCATAGAGGTGGTAGTTCATGTGCCGCGGCGACGGCGACCGCTCACTCATCCCCGGCGGCGGCATCACGTCCCTCTCCACCATCCTCTCGCGGCTCCTCTCTCTCGGATGTGGGCCACTGAGGGCGGCGGTAGTGGCGGTGGCGTTGGTGTTGGTGTTTGCTGCTGCCGCCGCCTGCCGCAGCCCAGGTGCAGATGGGCCCTTGGGCGGCGGGTGGCGGGAAGGGCGATACATGGCCGCAGGGGAAGTCAATAAGACAGATCAATCAGGTGGATAGCTATGTACAAGGAGAGAAGAGGGGCAAGGGCGTCCGGCGGGCGATGTGATGTGCGGACGAGAAGCAGACTTCACCACGCTATTCGCAATGGACGTCCGACCATCCGCAGATCTCAGCAGGCGCCGCTCGCCTCATCACCGCAGCTGATGCCGGCACCTCCTCCATGATTAATTGGGCCTCCACACCACCAGGCCACGCAGCGGGCGACAGAAGAGTGACCAGCGGGCCGTCAAGAGTGGCAGATCTGGTACGATAGCGCTTCACATGACCTCTTCAGCGCTACTGAGGCTGCGCATTGAGGCTGCGGCGTTTGAACCAACGCGAGCTTCGTTGCGAGCTGTATGAAATCCGAAGTTTGTATTGGCTGATTTTGCGCTCTGCATCCTCTGATTTTGGCTCAGAATGTTGGACCTGAGGACTGTAGCCTGGAGATGTTCCGATAGCTCATCGCTTTGACTTCCCCCGCCCTGCTGGTGGCGGCGATGGAGTCGGCGGCGATGGAGTCGGCGGCGAAGAAGCGGCGCCTGACGTGTAGCGAGGTGAGGAGGGGTGCCGCCAGACAGCTACTAGGATGCCGAATTCATGCACTATCTTGGTCTGGAATGTGATGGTCTGTAGTTGGAGGGCATTCTGGCCGCGAGGGACAAATACCTCAACGTCGCGCAGAAACTCGACGCTCTGTACCAACAAGTGAGGGAAGGAAGATGCGGGGAGACACACACAGAAAGAGGGCCTGCGATAGATGACCTTGTCGCTGGCGTGTGTGTGTGGATCTCTGTGCAATCAGGCCAGCGAGGCGCTGACACTCAAGGAGAGCAAGGAGAGGACACTCGGCGCAGCCATGTGCCCCAATATAGCCAAGGTGAGAGACCACCAGGCCACACACATGGGGCGTCCCTTAGCGCGCTGCCAACTGCTTTGCATCTCCCTGCCTGTGTGCTTTGGTGTGTGCAGATGGTGTGTTTGGACTATGAGAGGCTCAAGGTCGTGCTGTCCAAGATAGCCCCAGCCGATACCCTGCCCAGCCCACAGGACATCCTCATCGGTATCGCACAGCAGAAGATCACTGCTATGCTACGCAACCTACGCCTAGATGTAAGCAGCAACAGACACCGATGGATCACATGCACTGCACAGACGGGGGACACGTCCGTCTTGTGTTGTGCTCTGCGTGTTGTGCTCTGTACTCAGTCGTTGGCCCCGTCGCTGCTCACCCTCCCTGACGCGCTGCTCTTTGACCGACTCGGCCCCCTCGTCGGCACCGAGTCCCTCATCGGCGGCCTCTCGCGCGCCCACTCGTCCTTCCTGGCCCCCTCCCGCCACCCCGACATGCACACCATCATCACCTTCCTGGCCGACCGCGCCATCGACACCACCGATGAGCAGCTGGAGGCATGGGTGCCCCGGCTGGCCAAGACCAAGCGGGCGGTGCTGGGTTGTCACATGAACATGGGGATGGTGCGGCTGATTGAGTCCATTAGCGAGACCCTCGAGCATTTGGAGGTGGACAGCACATCGACAGAGATGCACGAGATAGACATTCCGGAGCTCGACAGACATTCCGGAGCTCGACATGGGCGAGAAGCGGGCGGCATTCCCACGATTGAAGACAGTAGCAGTGGGCGGGCGGTGGGGGTGGGCCTCATATCTGCGCTTCTGGACACTCGGGTGGGTGCAGTGCAAATCCAGGACAGTTCCTTCCAAAGGTCCCTGCGCACCATCCGTCCTTGTCTGGTCTCTTGTGTGTGTGTGCCACAGGTCTCTTAAGACCCTCGAGCTGCGCAAGTTGAGCAGGGAGGAGGAGACGCTCCAGTACAACGAATTCCTGGGTTACGACACATGGTATGGGCGCGACTGGCTGGCGAATCGCGAGAGTGTCCACACCCTCACCCTCTCGCCCCCATTCGCGTGGGATGCGCATTTGGCGATGGAACTCGTCGAGTCCACGCAGGTCAAGACCGTGAGGAGCTTCACCGTGACGGCGGACGAACCTGACCTGGAGGCCTGGATTGACGAGGACAATGATGAGCCGATAAGGTCGCTGGAGGCCATCGAGGGCACCATCAAGGCCAAAAGGATCACCCGAAGCATCATATCGGTGAGTGACCAATGCATCCACGCACACAAGAGGGAGTGATCATTCCCAATGCATCCATGTGTTGCCTGCTGTGTCACAGTCGCTGAATAAGGTCCACAAGTACTGTGTGAGCCCTGGCGGCAAGGAGGACTACAGCAGCAGCTCATTCGACTTCCCCTTCACCCTCCTCTGGCCGCCCACCGACCCCTACAGCCCCATTCGCGGGATCTACAGCGACGAGAGCCCCACATTTGCGTCGTCTACCCTCACCCTGGCAGCCTCCCTCGCCACATCGGTGACATTCCCCACCAGCCTCGCACAGGACACCATCATCCCGGCCTTCTACTCCCTGCTGCCCAAGCTGGTCTTCAGCTCAGCCCGCACCCTCACCCTGCAGCCGGCCAGGGACACCGACAACCCCCTCCCACCGCCACTGCTCTTCAACCTCGGCCGCGTCTTCCCATCGGTGCGGTCCATCGACCTGGGCAGGGCGCAGCAGCTGGGCGAGGAGGCCGTCGTCAAGACGATAGACGACCTCCCATCGGTGCGGGTGGTGCGCTTCGCCTGCCCGCCGCGCTACGTGGCTTTCGTGCCGGAGAGGCCTGATGGGTTTTTCCTCCCGTCGTATCTGCGCAACTGCTCGAGTGAGGGGCCACTGCTGCACATCAAAGGGGCGTTTCGCTCACCCTTCGGTGGTAGTGAGGGTTGGTCGTTGTGGGATGGGGAGGAGGAGGAGGGGGAGGAGGAGGAGGAAGAAGAAGAAGAAGACGAGAGCAGTGAGGACGGTATGGATAGCAGGGCTGAGGTGCCGGTGGGCGAGGCAGATGCGGGCGGGGAGGGGGCGGACACCTCGTTGGGGACGGCAGAGGGGCGCAGCCAGGAGGGACGTAGTAGTGGTGGAATCGAGTGTCGCATCCGTCGCATTAGCGTGTTCTTCTCGGCTGGCTATGAGCCTGAGCCAGAGGACCCTTTAGAGGAGTGGACAGACAGGCCACCGCCCTTCACCGATTTGTTTGACACCTGCATCGAGGCCATCACCACCCTGCCTAAGCTAGAGCGCATCACACTCACCACCAACGACACATTCACAATCGACATGCTGGACGAGGATAGCTCGTGTGGCGTGGAGGAGCGGCTGAGCCCTCACGGGTTCGCCGCTGTGCAGACAGGCCCCTGTAGCGTTGAGCTGTATCGGGAGGGGCTGCCCGCCACGGCCGGCCAGCGACTGATCACTGACTACTTCTCGCCTATCTGTGTCGATAGCGACGAAATGCGGGACTGATTAGATGGGTGCACTGCCTGTCCAGGTGGCTGGTGCGTGTGGGAGATCAGATGTGTACCAAGGGGAGCTTCCATGGCCTGCGACTGTGCCTGTGTGTCGTGGGCAATGCGATACCGTCGTCTTGGGGGCTAATAGACGTTTTCACCTGTCTCGGCGTGTTTCTGTGTCGCTTCTGGTCGGTCCATCGGCTAAGGGCGATCCAGAGGCGCTGGCCAAGCTGCAGATGAGGGCATCTGGCCCAGACAGACGCATCGAGCTGCGAGGCTGGGGTGTTGCGTTGACCTACGGTCGCTCGATTCGATGACACAACTGATGTACAGCTGACCTGACCATGGTCATGCCTGAGCGGATGACTGGCTGCGCTTCCTCTTGACGTGTTATCCTTCTTTTGTCCTTAGGCTGCGGGGAGAGACAATGGCGATGCACTCTGATCGATGCAGTGCATCACCTCCTTCTCTCGTCGCTACACGGAGGACACAAGAAGGCACACCAAGGATGATGCCCTCCATGTCGATGAGTCAATAATGACAGGTATAATTTTGCCCTCATTTCATTTCGTCAATAGAGCAGACATCGCCTGATGGATACCCTGCCTTGTGCAGCAGGCCATGTCACCATATGAGGCCACGGGAGCGTCAATGCGGCGAGGGAAATGAATGAAATCCCGCGAGCCCCATTTGCGAGCTCAAAGCAAGCTCAAAGCTCAGAGATCCCCTTTCGGCTTCGACTGCACAAGGGGACACGCCTCGGGAAAGGGGAGTGGGGCGGGAAACCCTCCAGGCAAGTGAGGTAATGCGGCGA